TATATAACAAACATAAAGCAACTAATCAATAAAACAGTATTTATTGACAGTATTTATTCAATAGCTGATGCATAAATAAGAATACTTTATAATTTGCTAATATTGCCAAATAATCATTAGTAAACAAGATAGTAAGATGCTGATAACACTTCAGCTGCTACCCCATTTAAAACCTTCATTCGGCATCTCTTCTCATTGCCACTGTTTGCTTGTATTATTTTGGAGCAACAAGAGACATAAACATGATAAACATCTTCTCAAAAAACAACATTCTATGTTGACTCAGAGACGTGCCTGCTTATTACATGGAAAAGTCAAGGGTGAGAAATAGAGTTTTTCCCCACAGTTCAAGCATGAGAACTCCATTAAAAAAATAATAGTTGTCAAATACACATAAAAGCTAAAAGTGAAGCCTTGAGAAGCAAATTGTGCAGGTTGATATCTATTGCTTTCCGTTCATTTTTGACCAAGCCTGCAAGAATCACTTATGATTGACAATCTCAAAGAAACAGACAAGAAATGAAGCAAACAATGGAGAGACATACCTAAGATCAGACTCAGTGATAGTATCGCCTAGACCACCGACGTATAGGGTTGTAATGGTCTTGTCATCAGGGGGGTCTAGTCGAGGCATTGTAGAAGCTCGCTTAAGGAGCTTATCAGCCACAGGATCATTTATACCATAGTAGCGATCTTTAATGTTCTGATCTGCAAGAGGATCATCCGGATCTGTAGGTTTTTCATGTCTAAAGGGTCAGAATCAATATTGTACAGTATGCGGTTAAGAGTGGTTCAATTCATTTGATTCATCTAATCTTCTAAACCGTGGCATTAATTTGGCAACATAAAATCCAGAGAACTTAAAAGGAAGCTAGATGATTAATTACATAATATGCAAATATTGGAAACTTTATAATATGCAATTACTGGAGGTTTTTTTTTAAAAAAGCCCCACTGCTGCAATTCCAAGTTTCTCACTCAGCAGACTCAATTACGTATCTGAAGATTACAACTATTGTCTCAGCGGTTAATAGCATAAGACCTAGTGGAATTATGACGACGTTGCCATAGAAGCAAGGAAACCCAGATTCTATTAGACCCTCATTCTACAGTCACTTTTGCAGTAGATTATTATGAGTGAAAATTAAAAGGGAATGTTCCCTTGAGCTGCTAAATGAATAGAATAGAAATCAGACAATGTTTCCATTTTGATATTTCTGGATTTGTTGAGGCCAAGGCATTATTTTCTTTCGGGTAACAGCTCTTGAAACCTTCCCTCCGTTTGCCCTTTCCCATCCATCCATCCATCCAATTTTGCCACCCACTTGTCAGGCAACTTAAAATTGTAAAATTAATCAATTTCTGCACTAAGGTATACCTGTAAGGACACTCCTCCCCTCTTTTACATTCTCCTTTCACCCAGAATGAACAAATATGAGGGCGATTGCGCTTGTAGTAAGGGGTGGTCCGAGCCAATTTTAGCAGCATGTCACTGGTAGATGTTGCCTTTCCAAGAGCACCAACAGGTCGAGTGCCATCTGAATTCATGATCTAGAAAAGCAGACAGATAGTGGTGGTTATATTATTCAACTTATATGCTGCCCCTCTCATGATTCAAAGGGTAGACAATATACAGCAATACCAAGAAGGTTTGTGTCCAAATATTGGGCTCATTTAATTTACTACTCCACCAAATATATATGTATATATATATATATATCATTTCTTCACCTCTCTTTCCATATTTTGGGTGTAATATTCTTTATTAACATCAGACTTGGGCATATCATCTTTAAGTGAGAGTCCAGCATCACGAACCTGAATAGGTAAACCTAATATTGAGGAACAAAACACACAATTAATACAAAGCGAAAACAAAAGGTATTTTTCCAAATAATAAATTTATCTCTTTCACTAAAGTTATATCATGACACTATTCATTCACTAATCTATCCTAACAATTAGACACCATAAATCATAACTATGTAATCTTTACATTTATAGCCAATTTTAGTCCACTTTATTATACACTATTACATTCATTCTTTTTCTATTACAAATTTCAATGTTTATATATTTTGGCAATAACATATTTGTCATAGTACAAAATTCTATTTCAAAATCAGTCCTACAATGTTCAATACCATACTTTTTTATTTACTTTAAATCCTGATAAATGTAAATAAGAGAACCACTGGCAACTAGATCCATCAATTGTTTCCTTTATTTTATTTTGTATTCCCCTTGATACAATTCTAGTATCTTATGACAATTTAGCAATTTCTTTCTACCTCTTGTTTCTCATGTTTCATGTGCTGAGAGCCACAAATGTATATTCTGACACAACCTGGTTTTGGATTTATCCCATTATTATCAATATGGCCTAACATAGTTTTTTTTTAAATCGTTAACTTTGATTTTACTGCACCATAAATATCCATGGCACTCAAATATCAGTTCCTGTAGAAATCTACACTGTTAACATTGTACGTAGTCTTTGTTTAATGCCCACACATTCAGCGACCAAAGTTATGATGCTGAATGAGTGTAGTTATAACTGGACCTCATATTAACAACTGTTGCAGAGTCCCTATGATTACAGAACTGCAATTCCTAAGCATGAGGAATTTGGCAGAAAATTGGAAGTTGCACACATATAAGACCCTCACTTAAGGATGATCCTCATTTAACAGCAGTTCACTGCTGGAACTGCTGTCACTAAGCAGCAGTCAACTTACAAACGTGTAGTTTAACAATAGAGTTTCTGGTCCCAACTAGCAGTGTTAAATGAGGGATATCTATATTTGGATGACAGCCATTACATGAATTTCCTTCATCCAATATAATTTTACAAAATTATTTCTCCTCTCTGAGACATTGAGATTTTATTCCATGTAGCTTATATTCCAGTTCTCTTAACTCATGTTCAGCTACGTAACATCTTATTGGGGCTGTGTAGCATTTCAGGTTCAAAGATTAAAAAGATGCTAAATATGGGAACAGTAGTACAGGTCGCCCTCAATTTACAACAGTGCACTTAGTGACTTATGGATATTGCAGCATCCCCATGATGTGATTTACATTCGGTTGCTTGACAACTGACTCACATTTATGACAGTTGCAGTGTCCCGAAGTCATGTGACCACCCTTTTCAACCTTCTGTCAAGCAAAGTCAATGGGGAAGTCAGATTCACTTAACAACCGTGTTACTAATTTAACAACTGCAGTGTTTCTCTTAACAAATGTGGCAAGAAAAGTTGTAACATGGGGCAAAACTCCCTTAATAAATTTCTCACTTAACAACATCAGTTTGGGGCTCAAGTGTGGTTGTAAGTTGAGAACTAGCTGTATATCATTCTGAAACACACATAAATATCTACAGTATTAAGACAGAAATGCCTTAAGATGTAACAACCATTAAAAAAATGGTCAAGCTTTGGAGCAGATAAGAATACTTTACAAAGCAACCTTGGGCAAATTGGAAAAAAACAAAACTGATTTATCCAATCTAGAAATACTACTCACACAGATGTCCCTAAAAATATTCAACCTAAACCATTTTCTAACAGCACTTCAAAACTAATTGCAATACCTCAAAGATAAAAATACAGAAACCAAGATATTAAAAGAATTGTACGTGGAGATTTATTACATATTTTTTCCAGACTCCCCAATCCTTTATTAGTGGGATGAAGTTGGGAGAAAAATATTACAGCTACCCTTTCTGATTTCAGTCAGAGCTTCCAGTATTGATTTTTATTCAAAACAGTGGAATATGGATTGACTTTACCTAGTAATTTATATGACAAACCCTTTTTTTATTTTCACTATTAAGCACTATTAGAAATGTCTGCCATTTCAAGAATGGGAATGTTGGGTTCATTTCTCCAAACTGATAAATTAGTGCTATTTATGTCATCATTTTTCATCTTGCAGAACTTCAGGTATGCAGACTCTGATCTCCAGGAACAGGCAGCTCATGGTTAGTGCACTGGAATAATAATGTGCTAATTTTGTATCCACTGATTTAATGTAAAATGATAACTACAAACCATATTCCAAGTCAAGAAGGCAAGTCTGACAGACATTCTTCAGCTTGCTGCATGTTTGGCACACTTCGGTCTTCTTAAAACGCATACGAACACCAGGGCACCAACGAAAAACGGTAAACGGCCTGGCACAGATCTGAAACAATCATTACACTAATGTACATCATCCTAACCAAAATCTATTTTAATGCATTTTTTTTATTTAAAACATTTCTATCATGCCTATATTCTATGCAATTTTAGCTGACTGACATATTGCACATCCAAATAAATGCCTATCTTAAGTCAGTATCTCAATTTAGGCATACACACATATATCTAATTCTCCATTATTAATGGGATATACTGTGGCCTGAAAGATCTGTTTTGAGAGGTTCAGTCTTACTTGTTAAAATAAAAACTAAAAGGTAACCATTGAAGATAGTACCATCTTTCCTAAAATGAATATATCATATTATTCAAAAATTGAGAGATTCTGATATGTTGCTCTTGTTCTTTTTAATCACATACACATTCCACTGCCTAAAGTACCATTATGGTTTAAATGCTTACTTTTAGAACCAAGATACTTACATTTAAAGAAAAACAGCTAATTGATAATACTAACAGACTGGATTTACACATCTAAACTAATCCAAGTTAATCAAATATGCTTAGGGTTCACATTTTATTGTTAAGTTCAAGGAAATATTGTTAGTTTAAGATGATGACCAGGTTTAAACGATTTCCTAAGTAACCGTGAAATTACAATTCACAGAACCACAAGCTGCTTCTTGTGTGCCATTCTTTACAATTACATAAGTCTTTTTTCCAAATGGAAAACCTACCTTGCATTCTTTTCCATATTTTTCTTTGGTCTAAAATACAGGGAGGAAGAAATACATTACAATAGATAATTATCCCAAGACAATGTATTTCAAAAATCAAGATTTGTTTTTTCATCACTATCAAAGACACTCATTTGTATTTTGTACATGACTTCCATCTGTCAGATGGAACAAAAGAAGACAATGCATATCAGTCTCCTATCACTACTAAAATCAAAACAATAACATGCAAGAAATCTTCATTCTTCATCTTCCAAAAGTCTAGATATCATAGTCCTATTATGATATCTATGTCATAATATATAATAGAAAAGAATTCTATTCTATTATGTCATAAATCTATTCCTTGATCTCCAAGAAATTTCAGCTTGTCATCATCCTCTTCAAAGTTAGAGCTAGCTTTTAATGTACCAACACATTATATACATTATATTATATATTTGTGTATTTATATACACAAATAAATATCTTCATTAATGTACTTGAAAAAGATTACTCATACATGGTGAATATATAGATCTTTTGCCAGGCTAAACATGAAGAACTATGAAATGAAGTTCTAGTTTGCTTTAATCTTGCCTTTATGCACCCAGTTATGTTAATGTTTTCCTTTTATCTTTATTGTGTGTGTTTAAGTATCATTCCCTCAGAAAAAAACATACCATTCGGATATAGGGGTTTTCTCCAAGGCAGGTCTGGCACAAAATAGGGAAATCCTACAGAGAAAAAAAAGTGTAATTATTCCAAGACCAAGATAACAGCACACTTGATCACTACTCTGTTGTACACCAAAAGGGGCTGTAAATTAAAAAAGAAAGAAAGAAAATGACACAACTCTTCCAAACACACATGGTTGAAGAGCTATAGGATCCCAAGGAACTAAATGCTCTAAGATTGCCTGAATTAAGAGAAAGCGAAGCCACACGCGATTCATTCTTCCGGGAAAACTGATCAAGGGACGGGATCGGCTCGGTCCCTCCGTGTGACTCGGGGAGGAAGGCAGCCTTTTTCCAGAGATCTCGGCTGCCTGAGATCTGGAAGCTCAGAGAAGGCAGCAACCCCGGCCTCGGGTGACACGCTTTTCTAACATCTGGAGCAACGGATCGAAGCCTCTTCGGCCACGAAGCAGGACGATGTCAACGGACCGGCCGATTCAGAGCCGCCCTCTCCCTCCTACCAAAGCCAAGGCACCCAAACCCCAAAGGACAACATTGTTACCGCATCCTCCCAGTTCTGCCGATTGTATGTGTTGGATCCCAGAGACGTCGCCATTTTCTTGTGCTTACAGTGTTATAAAAAAAAAAAAAGCAGGCACGGAAGTAGACACTCTGCACTCCGGATGTACCTTTCCATAATCCAGGTTCTTGACCAATGGCTGTAGGGGGCGGGTTTTTTAATGCCCTATTAAATGGGGTTGCTCCCTTTTGACAGGTTGAAGCGGAAGCGCCTCCCCTGGGCTTGTCCCCAGACCTGACCTCCAAGCGCGGGCTGACTTAACTGCTAGCGTGGGCAAAGCGGAGGCGACTTCTACTAACTATAGTTTAGTTGCAGACTAAAGGTTTTAAGAGGGCCGGGAAGGGGGGGAATTGCAATGGACACTTAAGGGAAAATAACCGGTGCATTTTTCAGCACCATTGACAATCCCATTGACTGCACTCCTAAATACAGCATCGTATTTCAGGGTGAATCCCAGCTCGGCTTCAAAGCAACGTCTACTCCGTAGGATTACTTATAGCTCAGCTGCTATTTAGAAGACCCACTGAGTAAAGTGGAGCTTGCTTTTGAATAAATTTATACGAGGGATCTATTAGGCATACTTTTCTGAACGAAAAACTCCAAAAAAGCGTACTTGTCTTTCTCGTTTTAACGCTCCTCACCAAATAAAAGCATTTACTGTAAGATGGGCAGACCTTTACATTGTTTGAATACTACCAGAACACTAATAACTATCGCTTGTTTTATTGATTTAAGATCATTCTCCTTTAGCAAGATACTTTGGGAGGTTTTTTTTAAAGTAAATTTTGGAATACTGTAAACATGCTCAACAATTAGCTCCTATTCCAATTATAATGTTAACATTGATTTTGTGCCATCACGTTGGTATTGACTTTTGGTGACTGCATAGATTTTCTGCATGATGAGCTATCCCTAATCTCTTATTTCAGATCTTTTAACAGTGTAGTTATCATCACTGTAATTAAGTCCATTCATTTCACTGCTAATTGTCCTCTTCCAATTTCCAAGTATCAGCTTTTTCCAGAGAGCTAGGTCTTTCCACAATGTGTCTAAAGTAGGATAACTTCATCTTGGTCATTTGTGTCTTCAGTGACAATTTAACAGTTCATATTAACATGGTCTACATCATTTATTTTCTTTACAAATCTCTAGTCCTAAGTCTCTTTCAATATTAATCTCTTTCCTAATATTTGAAGAATATTTGTATTTTAAATATAATTTTCATCCCTTAAAAATGTTTCCTCTTCAAAATATATGATATATGGGGGAAAAGGTAGAAGAGAGTTGATCAGAACCAGAATATTGAAAACAGTTAAATACAGGTAGTCCTCAACTTACAACAGTTCATTTAGTGATCATTGAGTTACAATGTCACTGAAAAAAGTGACTTATGACCATTTTTCACACTTATGCCCGTTTCAGCAGTCCCATGGTCATGTGATCTAAATTCAGCCGTTTGACAAATGACTCATTTATGATGGTTGCAGTGTCCTCTGGTCATGTGATCACCTTTTGTAACCTGACAAGCAAAGTCAATGGGGAAGCCAGAATCATTTAACCATGTTATTAACTTAACAAGCACAGTGATTTACTTAATAATTGTGGCAACAAAGGTCGTCAAATTCACTTAAACATTTTGCATAGCAACAGAAATTTTGGGCTCAATTGTGGTTGTAAGTCAAGGTCTATCTACTAGCAATTTTATCAGGGATCTATCTGAAATCACAATCAAATAAGACATCATGTTTGCCAGCATGAAGTACATCCTGGTAATAGCTCTATTAGTACCACAAAAATGGGGATTCAAGACACAGATCCTTTTGATTTCATATTATTTTTATATAACATTCAAATAGTATCAGAAGACATTTAACTGCATGCAATAAAACATCACAATCACAAATTCAATGTATTTTGGACAAACTTGTAATGCAGAAAGATGGATTCAGATTAGATCCCACATTTTTTGCCACTGCTGTTTTAAATCTGGGATACAAAGCATAGATCTGTTTGATTTTGCCAGATTTTTGCTCTCACTCGTACCCATCATAAAATCACAGCTGTCTGCACAATAAACCATCATATGAAATACTTGTCTCATTGCAAAACAAAAATGTGGATCCAAGGTATAGATCGGTGTAGATCAATATTTTTACTTGCGATCCAATTGAAACTGCATAAAACACCAAACACCAACTTCTGTGTAAAAAACCTGTGACAGAAGTCCTAACGGATGCTCTTGATTTATACACTCAGTCTTCCTGAACATTATAAAGCCATAGCCGTATTATTTTCAGTGAGAGAAGAAGAATGTGTTGATATGGTGAAAAATCAAATGATCTCTATTATTTTTCTTTTAGAAAGCCTAATTAGTATATGGAAACTAATATATTCTATTACAAATCAATATGGTCTCAAACACACAGCCATAAAATTCAGATTTGGCAATTCAGGCAACATATTTCCACTCAGATTGCCTGCCTCCACTGCCCAGGTGCATGATGGTTTTCAGAAATATTTTGCAGATGCTATTTTCAGCAAATGTTTTCTTAGAATCAGACACTAGCTTTCAATGTTATTGCCTAGTATAATTCTTCAGTTAAAGAATGCTTTACAGTACTCCATTTTTACTTTAAAAAATTACAACTTGATTTATCCTCCAGCTCTAAGGTTGAACATTAAGGATTTTAAAATAGATGGCTCTTTTTAAATTTAGAACATAATTGGCAGACAAAATTTTCTGTTCATCTTGGATGAAACACAATCCAAAGCATTCTGAATTCTACTTTTGTTACCAGATCCATGCCAGGTATCTCAAGGTTTTTCATTGTACCATATGGGCAGATAGCAGGAAGAGAAATGATATAAAATTTAATAATCAAGAAGCTATTTTTGAAGTTTTTAAAAACCTATGATCTTGGGGGAATAAATATCAAATGCAAATGAATAATTTGGAGACTCTGGTAGTTAGTTATAGTCTTAAATATATGGTTTATATTGTAAATTACTCTATACAAGAACTCTAAATGTTTCTATAGCCCACAGCGAACATATGTAGAAGCTTATTTATCTACAGTGTTGTTTGCTATTGGTTGAATATTAGTTGGTTCTGAATTGGGAGCATTCCCAAGACTCTAATCTCTTCTAAAGATCTTTGCTAGGTCATCTGCACGGTCTAATTTTATCCCTCTAAAATACATTGTGTTATAGAGCCCCAATTCACAGCTATCTTGTGTTCGAAGTACATACACCCTAGTAGTTCTATAGCATCTTTCCTGCCTATTGCCAGTCTTACCCTTTTCATTGTGCATTTCAAGTGCATCTGGAATGGCACTTTAGTTTCAATTCTAATTTGCTAAAGGACAATTAACATTTCTACTTGCGAAAAGTCTTTTACAACAGACATCACCATAGAATAGATTTTCACAGAGAAAAGTAAATAATTTTACTTAAAATAGTGTTTGCTATTTGCTTTCTTATTGGTTAGATGAGTGGGATATACATAAGATGGATGAATGCTTTCAACTAATCTCACTCTAATCATCATGCCTATAAGTGCAATACATGTTTCACAAGTGACAGAAGCTAAATGATAGTAATGTAAATTAGATAACAGTTTCAATTAAGCTTTTTTAATAGAAAAAGCATTGATCATATTCATATTTGAGAATGTTAAAAAAACTGGACAAGTTTCCTCTTTTTATGGAGTATAGGTAGTCCTCAACTCGCAACAGTTCATTTAGTGACTGTTCAAAGTTACAATGGCACTGAAAAAAGGGACTGATGACCATTCTTTACACTTACAGCCATTGTTGCAATCTCCCCATAGTCAGGTGATCAAAATTCAGATGCTTGGCAATTGGTTTATATTTATGATGGCTGCAGTGTCCAGGGGTCATGTGATCCCCTTTTGGCACCTTCTGTCAAGCAAAGTCAACGGGGAATCCAGATTCACTTAACAACCTGGTTACTAAATTAACAACTACAGTAGTTCACTTTACAATTGTGGCAAGAAAGGTCATAAAATGGAGCAAAACTCTCTTAACAAATGTTTCACTTTGCAATAGAAATTTTGGGCTCAATTGTAGTCGTAAGTCAAGGACTACCTGTCATTCAAAATTTGGGACTTTTGCATGCCTTGTAAAAGATGTGCAAAAGTAATTTATTGGTCCAGTGTTACAAATCATGTTATGCTAGCATTGCCAAAAGAAATGTAGGCTACCGTAGTTATTTCTAATCATAGAAATATGACAGAAAATTCTTAAATATGATAAAGGAAAAATACATGAAAGCAGCTGTCTGCTTATTTATTTGAAATTAACTAAATTATACAATAAGGCAATACAATGATCCTAATACTGATAAAGGCAGAATGTTCCTTGAGTGAGATATTTTTACAGATATGTGAAGTGAGATATGTACAAGTATTCCTATATTGTAAGAGGTTAAAAGGAGAAAAGACTTTTCAAGTATGCCCCAACTTTATATGTGTTTACAAGAAATCATAAATATACATTAGTTCGTTACAATATTAACTTATTAATTGGACTTTTAATTAGTGTGGGGAGTTAAATCATGGATTAATTAGAGTTAATATATAAATTTGAGAGCAGCAGATAGTAATATTGTACTACACATTGAATAAATATTGCCTAGATGTCCTAAATTCATGCTGCACAATGTATATAATCTACATCAAACTTTTTTTTTACATCAATTGCACAAAGTTCAAAGCTGAAACTTTTATTTAAATAGTGCCAAACCAATTAAAACTACTTAAATACACTTTCTAACAAATTAGAAATATATTTCCAGGGGTCTTAAGTACATCTTCCAATTATACATTGCTGTTCATCTTCTCCATTCCAATTTTGGAACTACATAATAAATATTCACACTGTAATGAGTGCCCATGGCCACCAGTCTGCAATCCGATATTTTCACCTTCCCATTACATACAATGTGTATGCAATATTAAATTTCAAATCATTAAAATTCAAGACCCAAAACGTGGGAATTATACTTTATAATAATTTATTCACCTTCCTATTAA